TCGTATTTCAAACCTTAACAAAAGCATAAACCCTAGGACAAAAGGTCTTAAAAAAAAAAACATACCCTTTGGAGTCAAACAGACCTCTATACACTGTACCAACTATGAGGGAGTTCCCCTTTTCATATTGGCTTGTCTTCATTTACTTATTATATCTCATTTATTCCATTCCATATTGCATTTTATGCTCCATTTTTAATTGTTTTGCACTTTTAAGCGCCTTTATTTGCAGTATCATGCCAAGTGAAAATATCTGTTTGAAGTTTATGTTATGGTTTAATTTTACCCTTGCTTTGAATTTTTATTTTCCTTTGTTTTTCGGTATGGTAATGCATGATGATGAGTTTGAAACAAAGGAAAATAAAATTTAAGCCAATGATAAAATTGAACCACATATAAAATTGTATCAAACAGAAATATGACAACAGCGATGAAAAGAACATTGAAATTTTAACGTGAAAAATAAATATTAAAATAAATAAATAAATAAATAATCAAACGTCAGATCGAGTGGCTAAAAAAGGTACGAAAGAAAATCGTCCAAGATAGTTGTATCACTATTTGAGTTTAGAATGCTTGTGAAGAAAATAACATTCTACTTAAAAAGCACAATTGAAATTTTGTTACTCAAAACCGGGAATTGAAAACATTAGTGCTGATTCTGGGATAAACGTCAAGCAATCTTGTTATTAATGGCATTGGTTCTTACCATTTAATTTACACAGGCCACAAGGATGCAAATCTTGTGCATAAACATAAAACTATAAAATTTAACGTGGTAGAAGAACGATGCGCTCCGATGTATATCTAAATCAGCTGTGCAGACTAACAAGAGTATAAAGATATCATTCCCACATCAAACCACAGCCGCAGTTTTCTATAGCTTCCTAAACGGAATGATCATGCGAACCATCTGATTTTCCAACCAGAATTTTCGACTTTTCCGTCTTTCTCCTTCTACCCTACCTTCCTTTAAGAAAAAAATATTTACTTTAGGCTACTTGGGATTCTCTTTCTTGTTTTGTTTTTGTTTTTGTTTGTTTTTTTTTTTCTGTAGGGGGATCATGTGACGAGCCCCTTGGAATGACGGATGGTAGCATCACTAATGCCCAGATCACCGCCTCGTCCCATTCCATAGACGGGGAACCTTTTGAAGCCAGGCTGGACGGTGACAATACTTGGATACCGTGGATGATGCTGTCGTAAGTTTCCAGACATAAATATTTGTGTCCTAATCTTGCGTTTGCAGAGTTTGCTCAAGGACAGTTGTGTCACTGCTCTTTAACTCACTATACTTGCGAATGACCAAATCACCGATTCGTGTCTGCAAAAAATGTCCCCCAAGCATAATATGCTAGAAATAGTTGACACTACAGTTGCCCCCGCTCTGTGTGTTGTCGGTCAATAGTATTCTTGGTCGTTGTGTAGCCCTTTGAAATATACTATACTGATTCGTGGTGAACATGCACTGATTCAGTTCGATTTATTCAGCTTTGATCAAAACATCCTAAGTTTTCTAAACCATAAGAAAAGATCTGATTAGAATGTTGGTTTATCTCTCTCGACACGAAGAGAGGGAAATAAGAAGAGAGTCGAACTATGACTGTACAATTAGTGTCACAGTGTTTTGCGTCATCCTAACCATCTCTTGCTTGCGGGCGTGAACAATAGAAATGTCATCATTATCCAACGATTTTATGAGGCCCCTGATCAAGTAAGTCGAGATTATTTCTGTACATACTGACAGTCTATTTAAGCTGTACGTGTTTTCTACATATACGCGTGAGCTACTAGGATGCCTGCAGGAGCAAAAACGTTACAAAAAGATGAGCTTGCCCTCTCTTTTTTTCAGAATCCTTTACAATCTTTTTTCCAGAGTCCCGTTTGTTCATACATGCCCTCTTTTGACTGATTGCTGTTACTTATATACCTTCTTTGTTTGAGTGGTTCTTTTCATGTGTCATTTAATTTGGTAGCAGTTCCCACCGTTTGAATTTTGATGTATTTTTTGACAGCTATCTTAACGCGCCTCTCAGAATTTGTTGTATGAAAATAAGCTAAATGAAATCTTTAAGACAAAAAAATAAAGAGAGTTGAAATATGAAGATCATCTCAAAACTTGAAAACATAAGAAAGCTAAGCAATGAAGTTGTTCAGGTAGCCATTAAAATCTAAATTGTCAGCTATTTTTTAACTTATTTGCGCGTCCTTTCTTATGTGAAATTTCCTTGTCTATTAATTACAGGAAAGAGAAAAACCAATATTTGGAAGTTAATTTCAATGATAGGGTCATAATTCGTCGGCTCAACACGCAAGCGGCACAGTTCTCGAACCGTTATAAAATGTCGCTGCTACCGCAATAAAAACTTGTAATGTTCGTTCCTTCGCTTCCGCTCCATTTTCTAGAAGAAGAACCAGGGACTCGGGAAATTCCCTTCGGCCATGCCCCATATATTTTTTTTAACACGGGTATTTGTTTTTGTATTTCAAGGATTTAAAAGCCAATGATAATGAAAACTATGGAACCGTGATCCTTCTTCCCGTACCTGTTGAAGCTGTATTTGTCCGAATTAATCCGACGGCTTGGCAAACCTCAGGCATCAGCCTAAAAGTTGAGTTTTATGGATGCAAACTCAGTCAGCCTGTTATTCCAGGTAATTGTTACCTATTTTCAATGAGTACTTTACCAAATTAACATAATTCTGCAAAATCGTAAGGTGTGAGTGATGTTCGAAGATCGAGCTACAGTAATATTTGTGCCACACTTGTAACATGATGAATTTCATTTTTGTAATTCATAGTAACACACTCTATATTGCTGATTCTCTCGATAAACTGTAATAATATCACGGCCTAGAAGTAAAAGCCTAATGTTTGAGGGTTCCAAAATCAGAATTAACCTCATTAAGACCGGTTTTTGTTCGCTTCCTACGACGCATCATACGGCCACCAAAATTACACAGAACAATGTACTCATCACTTTTAACATCTAAGCAAAATTTGATTGACACATTGACGTAATTTGAAGCCTTTATGACGTCATATTGTGGAATTCACTAGCAAAATCTTCATTTCCCTCAAGGTGGCGATAAAGCCAAATAAACTAAAAATTATAAAGGTGTCTGATAAGAAAAAGAAATTAGGTAACACATGAATGATCTTTAATAATAGCAGTCATATCATGATGGCTTCATTTGTTACGAAAATACGGAACTGGAAGTATCCGCTATCTGGGATCCGCCATTTTGAATTACTTAAATGTATTCCGATTTACTAAAAAACCTCGTAAAAATCGAGGTAATCGTAATAGAAAAGTTGATCTGTGTATAAAAGGACGCTAAGGAAGCAAAGAATCTGCAAGTATAATTGAAATTCCGAGATATATAAACACTCTTTAAAACTTAACCCGGCGTCTGCCATGTAGTCATTTTGCGGTCTTATTTTTTGTTGTTGTTGCTTTTTATTTTTTTTATCCAATTTGTCACTAAAAAGCCTGTATTACATGAGCAGTTATAAAAAATTTGATAAAATATTACTCAATCAAGTGTAATATAATAATTCAATAACTTAAAATAGAAAACAAACGTTTTTATAAGAAAAATGCAAATTTAAAAACATGGCTGTCAAAACGAGGTTGCCATTTAAATGTCAATGTTGATGTACACGTCACGACGACTTTAGGTCAAAAGCCCCGCCCCCAGTCTGAATAGGGTTAAGGTCACTTGAAATTAGCATTTACAAAGGAACTGACAGTTTCCCTAACATCCGACAGCGCGCACTCTCTCAAATCTTAAGGTAGCTAATGAGATAACAAATAAACTGTCATGTAACAGTATTACGGTGTTCACGTACCTCTCTCTTAAAGTCATTTTTTCTCAAAACTAATTCGGAACACCTCCCTGGAAAAGCTTCATTTTGTTTCTCAACCTAATTTTCGGCAGGTCATATTGGGTCGTCTTAAAAATAAACAGTTTTGTTTGCAGAAGCCTAGGCCTATCTGTTTGAAGCCCGTTTGGCTATTATACTGCGTTAAGAACATGTGAGTTGTCATTGTAACTAACCATATGAATTTACGCTTTTAATCTTCTTTCGAGGAGCTCGTTCTTACAGAATTTATTTTCTCGACGTTAATTAAGAATGTGTGAAATTTTGAAAGAGAATACTTACAAGGGGCTGAGGTCCATCGTGTCAAATTTTGTTAACATACATGAAGTAACTGGGTGTTTTCTTGCGCAGGTAATTTAACGTTCTCCAGTCGTGGATACTACTTGGACGAACCTAAAGACATCATGTATATTTGTAGCGTGCCGACAAAAATGTAAGTTAAAGAAAAGAGTAAAACAGACCAGTAACTAATTTGGCTATAACCCAAAAAAGAACCGTGAAAGTTGAAGAGGGAGAAAGACACTATGCAATGTGTAAACTGAGACTAGACATCACAACGAGATATTGACTGTTGCTGCCTTCGTCCTGCAAAGGGTTCGGCGTGGCTCGGATTGCCACGTAAAATGGCGGTCCCGTCTTAAGTAGAACATGTTAAGATAGTGCTCCCAATTAGTACTTTCGTGCTAAATACATTGACACTCAAACAAAGTGCTTTTTTATTCACTTAGTAAACAGAGATCATACAAAACAAATAAACTGTATATAACTTAACCCAATTTCAGTAAAAAAAGCCCTTTTTTGGTCTTGATCTGCTTGTAGGTTGTAAAGTATCAGTATAATTTTGTTCCAACTAAAAAACATTTTTACTCAGTCAATTTTTAAGGACTTTGCTTAAACAAGGGAACGCTATCGGCTGTCCATCTAGGTAGTCACTTGAAGGGATAGACGAGAGGGCCCTTCCTCGATCCTGAGACTGGGACCGAGTTATACGATCGCCGAGTTTAATCGCCGAGGGCCCATCGCCGAGTAAATCTTCGTTTCTGCATCGATCACCGCATCGCAATGGCCAAAAAATGGCGCGTAAAGGAGTCAGAATGAATACTCGCGGGCGTATTAAAAAAGATGCGATGTGATTTATTTCGTTTCTTGTTTTTTTCGTCTAAAATATACTTAACATTGACCTGTTCGTACTTCGAAAAATATTACTGGCTCCCGCCACTGATATTAAACGGAAAAAGGCGAAAAACTACTTGGGGTGACAAATTATTTTTCTTCACAAATATTAAAACAGATGGATTTGAGACTTATGACAAGGTGCTGTTGAAATAAACGAATATACCCCCTCAAAGCCAAAAATGGAAATTTTTGTCTTCCTTATCTCTAAGCAGACTAGGGCTCCCTGACCTATCCCTACAAGGGATAGACGACAAGTACCTCTCCGGGATTGGACGGCCGGTCCTATACTCTGTGAAACATTAACCAAACGCGTCCGAAAAAGCGGGAAAAATAAAATCCAAACAAGAGTAGGCGTACTGCAGTAGCTGTTTAGGGACTTG